AGGCTGAAAGTGTATTACTCATTTCAGTGTGCACAGTAACGAGTTTAAGACAACGTATGTATCGATGATCATAAGTTGAACTGAATGATGAAACCACTTCTCTTGTGGCGGTCAAAGGGTAGCGCTGACGACCGTTACCTATATTTTTTCCCTTTTTGCTAACAGCATATTATTTTCCATAGAACCCTACCTCACTCCATTTCGCTGCAGTTGCAACAATGAGCAAACGGTCTTGGGTATTTCGCTGTGACGTGCGGTTCGACGTGTTGGACATTGGTAGAAAGTGAAAACAACGACTACCACAAGATTCACACCATTTGTCGGTCAACACACTGAACCGCTGCAGCCATAGAGCATACGTATCAGGAGGCATAGCTGCCGTCTCCCAAGTTTTAGCATGGTCCGGTCCAGAACAACGTGCTATCCAACGACTTGGTACTTGCTTTCCCACTAGCTGCAGCCAAACAATGAGGGGTGAACTCGTGGAACAAGGTAATCGGCGGGTAAGGTAATTTTTTTCTGGATTCCAATCTCGCTCCGCCGGAACTTAAAGCCAATTTCTTAACCCTTTACCACCGTACCCTGAAAAAGAAGTTAGCAGCAACAGCAGTTCGGTAGAAAGCTGATACGAAGAGTTAGGAGCACAGGTCTAAAGAATGGCAATCAACTGCCATGAGCTGCTGGTTCCCAGAACAGAGGACGACTGAGTTTCAAGTTCACTTATTGCATGACCAATGCTCAACCTTTTGGGAAATCGAAATAAGTCTGATTTAAGTTTGAATTAAAAAATCGACCGAGTTCTTCCGTTTTCAGAACAGGATTTGGCGACCGATTTACGAGTCATAGAAAGATCAAAATTTTTCTTTACTAGTTTTTAGGGGTACCCGACAAAACAAAGCAAAGGCTCCAAGATCAACTTTCAGATATAAAAAACTGCAATTATTCAAGTATAAATATTATAACGAGACTCCTGACGGTCCAGCGTTCACCGAAACCGAAAGTAACTCTCAGAGAAAGCGGCATCAAGTAGCAGGGTGTAGGTGGTCTTTAATCTGTACAAGCAGGACAGGGGTTGTGTCGGCACAGAGACTTTTTAATGCAATAAAAGTTGCGGCAAGGTAGGTCAAGTCAGGAACGCATTGTCAACTGAGTGATGGAGCATCTTTTGGAAGACTGAAAATGTTCCTCTCCGGAAAACTGCCTTTGAGTTTGGAATGGCAAGTTTCTGAACACAGTACGCCCTCAGTGCTAACCTATGGATGCGAAGCGGTTACCCTAAGCTGGAGAGTTATTCATAAAATGCAGATGGCGTAACGCAGTATGGAAAGGTCATAATGGAAATAGGAAGAGGGAAGCAGGCGAATTCGTAACAGCAGAAACAGTAGCCTGCGATGCCATTCAACGAGTAAAGAAGTTAAAATTAACTAACCATGAATGATCGACAGAGACATTACACTGCGTTCCAAAAGAGAGTAAACGACCCCCGTGGGAAGGTCCTGATCAACGACAAAATGAGTTATATTAGTTCATGAAAGTATATTTGATAAGAATCACGGAAAATATGAGATTATGGCAAGAGGCCTTCATCCAGCAGTGAATCGACGAAGGCCGATGTTGATCTGTCAGTCGTTCGAGCTTTGCACCGAGGATTGCAATTTTGAAGCCTGTGATATCTGAGGATATAGGGAGGTCAATAAGATTTTTGTCGTTTCTCACTGCTGAAATCATCCGAAGCGACTGGAGGGTCTGTTTTCGTTCGAGTCTTTCCACATTTTGAGCAGGCCTTTGAGAGGGACAGATGCACAGCTGGGTTTCTACGTGCCTGCATCACGGTACAGCCATGTTCATAGGTCCATCAATAGTCAAAGTTTTGTCAAACGTTTAGATGTGTCGCATTTTCAGAACGGACATGACGTCTTTTTGTTATACTGTAAACAGTCGCTTTAATCCGACAATCCATGATGCCAGCGACAGCACTTCTCTGCACCCCCCCCCATGGTGTCCAGTGAGAATCAAAGCGTAGAGTAATCTAGACAGATATCTGCAACGGGTATACCAAACGGAATGTGAAAATGGGATTCGTATTCAGGACCGGAAATGAACATATGCTTCCCAGAGCATATGACCAATTTAATATATAGAAGTAGTGAGAGCTCTAAAACAAGGATTACACTCAGAGGTAGTTGCATTTCCGTGACGGGTGCCTATCTTTTATCGATGCTGAATACAGCAATATAAACAAATAGATTTCTTCAAACTATGAGACAATAAACATCGGGGGACAGCCGTACAACCAGCGAAACCACGTACTAATTTATGTTGACCATACAATTGGAGATGATGAATATTGGTTTTCGGTTATTTGGGTTGGCTCCTTTCGCCAGAAGTTATGTTGTCGTCAATGGCAGTGAAATATGTGTGATGGCGAGACGCACGAAG